GGGAGCTTGGTGGTACGAGGACTGCCATTCGTCCAATCTGAACGGCCTGTACCACCTGGGTGATCACAGCTCCCATGCTGACGGTGTAAACTGGTATGCATTTAGAGGGTACAAACACTCCCTGAAGACAACGGAGATGAAAGTTCGTCCTGTCGGTTTTAAATCTGCAAATATCGTCATTGGATGATTTCCAGCTTCTTACAATGGCGAAACCTTATATCAATACCCGCCAATGAAAAGTGGAGATGAAATATTATATAGTAATACTTATCTATAAACCTATAATTTTTAACGTTCCAAAGGCACATCTGATCTGAATTAGATACTCATGTTTGCGTTCAAAATAACGTCCGTACTTGTGTAAATTAAATAAAACCAAAGGACAAATGACAAGCGATTTTTCAATATTTTAGAAATATGTGATTTGATTAGTTTTTGTACTGTAATGTTTTTTATCTCTCGAGAGAACATTTTTTCAACGAAATAACTTAAAAGGAGTGCCTTTTTTTCACTTCGTTAAACTGTCATTGCTCGCATGAAATCTGTTCCAGCGACAGTACTTCAACCTTGTGGAACCCATTCAAGCAGTCAAATAAACCAATTTAATGTGCTCAGGGAGTTTGTTATTAGTAGTTAGTATGTTTAAGACAAAAACATGAGGTATATGATGTATTTTGANATCTCGAGAGAGAATATTTTTTCAACGAAATCACTTAAAAGGAGTGCACTTTTTTCACTAAATCAGACTGTCATTGAAATCTGTTCCAGAGACAGACCTTTCTTGTGGAACCCATTCAAGCAGTCAAATAAACCAGTTCAATGTGCTCAGGGAGTTTGTTATTAGTAGTTACTATGTTAAAGACAAAAAATGATGCATTTTGAATCTGTTTACCTAACATTATTGAAATACGTAAACAGCACAGATGCAGGGTGGCAGTCGGGAATCATAGTTGTTCATTGCGTTTTGTTGAAGGATAAATTTCGCATTAAAAATAGAAAGAATACTTCTGCAGCACTGACGTGCCTTCTGTACAATTGAACTTTTGTTTCGTCCGACTAGAGAAAAATAATTAACCTAGAGAAATAATTACACCAAGTAGGCCAAAGCGCATCCAACACATGGACTTTTCTCATATGAATGACCTTAGATAGGAAAAAATGAACTCAGAAGTGAGAAGAATATCAGTTATTTTTCTCTATAGCACTTGACATAAGTATTGAAACCAGGATTTATTTCATAGACTATGTGCGTCTCTGCCATGAATCAGAAGGTTATTTTTTGTGGAGAGACCCAGTTATGGCTTATCATTTCACAACCAATCGGTTGTTTCCATGGCTACAGTATCAGATGACACCCAGACAGCGACCGGTTCCTTTTTGGAGACTAACCAAACAGGATACAAAATGTATATTTAGTATACAAGTGTAAAAAGTTGTCTAGATCCTGTTCAGGCTTGGTGTCAGGCATTGTTTGTAATAGACTTCGTCAGTTAACGTTTAAGACCCATACCTAGATCGATCTAGCTTGATCGGACTAAATTGCACTCATCTTAAACAGTTTAGATGTCTGGCACGCCCACTGAAGCTGCTTAGCTATATCAGGGAATTATATCCGATATACTTCCCTGGCTATATAGTTAATTATCCCCTAACAGCTTCAGTAGGCGTGCCAGACATCAGAGCCGTTTAAGCTGAAGGCAATTTAGGGATAATCCCCTCGAAGGTGGAACGATCCCGTTAGTTCGCAGGGGCGTAATCAGGCATACGCACGGATGCACTGTGCGTACAATTTTTGAGCCAACCATGATCTTAGAGCGCATTCTCAACGAATTAAGCCAGGCTTTAAAAAGCCGGTGACCTAAAAATGGCGGACGAACATGAAAGAAAAACCGCCTAATCTTTAAATAGTCTCTCCGCCTCTCACACGCCTCCCCACACGTCGTCCCTGCGGGGTACAGTAATTAAATCTCGGCTCCGAACATAAATATTTCCGTGAATATCTCTGGTGATATTATCTCCGTAGATAGTCGATTCATTGCTGCTCTACGGGCCAAATTATTCCCTTTTCGTCTCTGTTTTCAAAGATAATAGAACAGAAGAGCTTTTTTCCTTCGATCGCCTTCAGCCGCCATGCCTTCTTCACCACGAGTTTAACTGATGAGCATGCGCACTTAATATTTCTCAGGTAGCTTCCGCATGGCGAATGGAGACGCGATTTGATTACTGTACCCCGCAGGGACGACGTGTGGGGAGGCGGAGAGACTATTAAAAGATTAGGCGGTTTTTCTTTCATGTACGTCCGCCATTTTTAGGTCACCCGCTTTGTAAAGCCTGGCTTACTTCGTTGAGAATGCGCTCTTATTCTCCATAAATTCAGTGTATTTTTCACGGAATATAATCGTAACTGGGAATTTTCAAAATCTGTGCGTACAATTTTAAAATGTCTAGTTACGCCCCTGGTTCGATCTAGGTATGGGAATGGGGTATAAATGCAGAGCACCTGACCTAGCTGAGAAAGCGAACCTTCTTCAAAACTTTCTGGCTAACTGCCAGCTACCAGATCTTTCTTTTGGAGACTAACCAAACAGGATACAACATGAATAAAGTTACAAATATTGGCAGTACTGGTGTTTTTTTCCTGTGACACTAGTGTAAAAAGTTGTCCAGATCCTGTTCAGACTCACATTGCCACGCTGCCCTGACTGTTATGTTACAGCAGCTGCGCAAAGAAGATCTTTAGTTTAGTTTTTGACTACAAAGGTAAGCAAGCGTGTGTGTGCGTGTGTATGTATGTATTTATGAATGTAAGTTTTGTAACGTTAATGGCTCACACTAATTGCAGGCAATAATTAAAGAGGAATCAAACGAGTAAAAGGATACGGAGTTATCGAGTGTAGGTTAAATTTCTTTAAAAATCAACAAGTGTAGAAATTGCTTTCGTGGTAGGAAGAGATGTCAAAGGCACATGTAGTTCGCACATATAAATTCGCATATTTTATGATTGTAAATTGCATTGAAATGTAAGGAAATGGAATGTGCTAGAAGTAATTATTATTATTATTATTAAAATACCTGTGGCAGGGTTAAGTAAGCTGTATTGATAAAAATTACCTCGTTACTCAATACTGAAATGGCTAAGTCCAAGCCACGCTTATAAGTTTGAGTTATTTTCCGTGTGTCGACGGGTTTCTTTAGATGTAAATTTGTTGCTTTTAAGTAGATCTACAAATGTCAGCAGCTTCAAGTGCCCTGATAGCTCTGGTTGTATTCTGCTTGTGGACATCAACACGAGGACATTTTATTCAACGGTAAGACGCCGGTTTTTTTTTTTTAATGACCTATACGAACACTTGTGTTTACGTTATGATTACGTGCACGTGAGCTTGCGCGTGTTATTTATTTCGTTGTGTGTCAATGTTGTTGTTTGCGCGTTTGCTTATATGTTTCTGCATGTGCTACGCATGTGATTTTGTGAGTTTAGCCGGGATTTGATAAAAGAAGAAAATTTCTCTATGCATCGGGCTTCGCAGTATATTTGTTTTTCTGTGATGTACACCGCGTAGTTGACATCACTTCTTTCACCTTGCAATTGCTTGTTAGAAATTTTCCGCATAAAACGATGAATGCCCTCTATTAGAGCCGCAGGTTAATTATGTGCACAGTTCACCAGTGTTGTTTCATGAATGAGCGGTGAATATATTGTAAAAAAATTAAACAAACAAACAAACAATTTTTAGCCTTGGTAGAAGGTAAAGGTATAGACATACCGGTGTCGGGAAACTGAGGGTCCGTGTAACAGAAAATCCTCCCTCCATTTAGTTATAATGGTTAGGGTTAGCCTGACCTGAGTGAGTCAAAATCTAGAGCAAGGCTCACCTGTACAAATGAATGGAAAGCGGTACCCCCTCAAATCCATTATTTCAATGTGATTTCTACAGATGTAAAGAAATGTAAATTAAATTGAAAAGACGCAACCAAATGTCACCAAATTTACACACAATTAGCATTAGGGTGTGCTCGTTAAAGGCCACGTGCCTAATAGCGAGTGCGGCTACCGCGTACTGCAATTATCTCCTGTAGATGGCGCGAGAAGCCTTCAGCACGGGTAACAATTTAATAGACATTTCTTTACATCTGTTGAAATCACAGTGAAAATTTGGATTTGAGGGGGTACCTGTTATAAATTTTACTTAATGGTATAAAATTTGTATATTTTCACCCCTATATTATATATTTTTTAACCCTTTATTGTGTTGGACAAGGTATCTGGAATAAAAAGCACTATTTCTAACAATTTACGGCTGTGAGGTGATCATTTGTAAATAAAAGTACATGGAAATGGGGGTGGGACAACCTTTTTGACCAATGTTGTATGTTAGCAGATATTTATCTTGCTAATTCTATGCATATTTTTGGACAGTGACAATCTCAGAAAGAACTGTTAGAAATGACGTCATCAGTTGTTCTCTGGTAGAGAGTACTTGGAATACATCCAAGCATTATATTATATTATATTATATTATATTATATTATATTATATTATTACCTCCGCCAAGGAAGTTATGTTTTCACCCCTGTTTGTTTGTCTGTCTGTTTGTCATCAACATAACTCAAAAAGTTATGGATGAATTTCGATGGAATTTTCAGGGTAGGTCAAAAATGGGTTAACTTAGAAGTGATTAGTTTTTGGTGGTGATCTGAATCAATAATCAATCAATAATCAAAAATCAAAAAACTAAGTTATGGACTGATTTTGATGAAATTTTCAGGAACTGTCAGAAGTGGGCCAAAGAACAGATGATTAGTTTTTGGTGGTGATCCGGATCAATAATCAATCAATAATCAATAATCAAAAACCAAAAAACTAAATCATTATAGAATGAAAATTATTGAATGGAGACTGCTGCCTTGGCGGAGGTCTGCGCTCTCTGGGTGCTTTTCTAGTATTATATTATATTATATTATATTATATTATATTATATTATATTATATTATTTCAGTCGCCAGGTAAACCAAACTGAAACGTCTCCTCAGCAATGTGCTGTATCTGACCGGCTGCTGGACATGTTGCAGAATGTTGTTCAGACACAGCAGCAGGAACTGAAGACACTAGATAACAAATATGACGACTTACTGGTTACTTTGGAAAGCAAATATGACGACTTGCTGGTTAAATATACCACATTAGTTGAAACAACGGCTGAGTTGCAAATTAATGTGGCCAAATGTACTTCCGAAAAGCAAGGAGGTACACGCAGATAAAACTATATATACATTTTTTTATATATTAAATTACTCCTATTACTCTATCGCTAGCTTCATAATCTATTAATTATTCGTTTTAGCTTGTTTAGCCTTCATTAACCTATTAAGCGATATAATTTGATTATGCATTTGCACCTCTTGTGCTGAGACCAATACAAGGCACCTAATGAGGCACCTATGTAATACCGGTCATCTTCTGATGTTAATATTTTCAGCTGACGGCAAGGACTGTGCTGAACTCTACAAGAACGGGTTAAAACTAAGCGGAGTGTACACCATTACCCCCTCTAACGGCCAAAGTCCTTTCGATGTCTACTGTGACATGACCACTGACGGGGGAGGATGGACGGTAGGTTCAACAGCCGCCGGTCGTCAATGTGGTTGAATTCAATTTTTTTTTTTTTTTTTTTTTGGGGGGGGGGGGGGAGGAGTTATTATGTCGAGTATATTTTCACCGCCGAAAGTTTAGTTTTGGGATGATATATCAAAGCTAGAGTTAACGCCATGTATTGTGTTAATTTTTTGACATGTCTAAGAAAATGACTCGTCCTTTTTTCCATTGTATCTTTTCTATGGATCTTTTCATAATCTTTTCATAACCATCCACTTTTAAATGGCTCTAAAAAAGAAATCGAATACTATGGGTAACATGTATTCTTGTAAGTTTGTCTTGTAAGTTGTAGGTGTTCCAGAAGCGTATGGATGGCTCAGTAGACTTCTACCGTGGCTGGGAGGATTACAAACACGGCTTTGGTAACTTGAACGGGGAATACTGGTTAGGTAGGTTGTGCGCTGGGGATAACTTTATCCCGGAAATTTATAAATGGATCTTCTTGCAAATAAAATACCTCCACTTCCATTTAATTTTCAATAATTAATATTATTATTTACTAGAATATTTTAACGTAAAATGTATTTAACCTAACGGGGAACATAGGTTGTGCGCTGAGAATGAATTAATCCCAGGAATTTAAAAATCAATCTTTTGGCAAACAAAAGTCCTTTTTTTTAATTATCATTAAAGACTGTCATTTTTATATTCAAAATAAAGTATATTTTATCACAATTATTATAATGTATTCAATCATAAAATTCTTCAAGTTATCTATCTTCGTCCTTGTTATTTAAAGAATGTATTTAATGGATTTATATGCAGTGTATTTATAATTTATAACCTTATTTTTTCCAAGGAAACGACCAAATAAACCTCCTAACTCACCAGGGGCACTATGAACTCCGTGTTGACCTAGAAGATGCCACAGGGGTGAAAGTTTATGCTCGCTATGATAACTTTGCTGTCTCTTCAGAACGGACTAATTATCAGTTAACACTTGGAGCATATTCTGGGGACGCAGGTTTGTTTATAAGTTAACACTTGGGACATATTGTTGAAGCAGTTTTTTGTGTTGATGCTCATACCTGATGATTTGCATTTTTTTTTTTTTTTTTTGAGAATGTTGGGATTTTCTACCTTAAACACGTGTACAAAAACAAGTCATTCGAATATCCTTAATAATTGTAACTAATTTTGTCAAAATGGCTCAAGTCCAATTAAAGTACGGACGAAGTATCTATTTTTAAGTTAAATACATGGAAAATAATGTCATATTCCCTTAAATTCCACAATTATAAAGAATATGGTGTTTCTGTAGCTTTCAAGTCATAAATCCTCAGATGAAAAACAGTAAAATCGAAAGACAAAAGAGGTTTTTGACAACAAAGAGTGGATTGAATAGTCCCTTTAATTATATTTTCATCATTCATTCTAGGTGATTCCTTAGCCTACCATAATGGTGCGTCGTTCTCCACAAAGGACAGAGATAACGATACATATGAAAAGAATTGTGCACAGAAATTCAAGGGAGCCTGGTGGTACAAGGCTTGCCACAATTCCAACCTTAACGGCCTGTACCACCTGGGTGATCACAGCTCGAACGCTGATGGCGTCAACTGGGAGACATTTAAAGGGGACCACCACTCCCTGAAGTCAACTGAGATGAAAGTTCGTCCTGTCGGCTTTAAATCTACAAATATCGTCATCGGGTGAATTTCAGTCTCTTCCTTGGCGATATCTTATTTCAATCCCTGCCAATGAAAAGGGAAGATGACATACAGGGTTGCTACTTAATATGGAATATTTTTTATCATTGTTATTTTTGAGTACTGATTAAATTTTTTTTGGCTTGAGTCATTAAAAAAGTATGCCACTGAGTAATAAAAACATCCAGTCTTCTGTTGTAAGATATTTTGGACAATGTTCAATGTTCTAGTATTATATTATATTATATTATATTATATTATATTATATTATTTCAGTCGCCAGGTAAACCAAACTGAAACGTCTCCTCAGCAATGTGCTGTAACTGACCGGCTGCTGGACATGCTGCAGAATGTTGTTCGGACACAGCAGCAGGAACTAAAGACACTAGAGAACAAATATGACGACTTACTGGTTAATTTGGAAAGCAAATATGACGACTTGCTGGTTAAATATACTACATTAGTTGAAACAACAGCTGAGATGCAAAAAAATGTGGCAAAATTTACTTCCGAAGGGCAAGGAGGTACACGCAGATAAAATTATATACACATTTTTTTGATATATTAAATTACTCCTATAACTTTATCGCTAGCTCCATAATCTATTAATTAATTTATTCATTTTAGCTTGTTTAGCCTTCATTAACCTATTAAGCGATATAATTTGATTATGCATTTGCACCTCTTGTGCTGAGACCAATACAAGGCACCTAATAAGGCACCTATGTAAAACAGGTCATCTTCTGATGTCAATATTTTCAGCTGACGGCAAGGACTGTGCTGAACTCTACAAGAACGGGTTAAAACTAAGCGGAGTGTACACCATTACCCCCTCTAACGGCCAAAGTCCTTTCGATGTCTACTGTGACATGACCACTGACGGGGGAGGATGGACGGTAGGTTCAACAGCCGCCGTTCGTCAATGTGCTTGAATTCAATTTATTTTTTAGGGGAGGTGGGTGATTGTGTCGAATATATTTTCACACTGGAAAGTTACATTTTTGGTTGATATATCAAGAAAGCTAAAGTGAACGACATATATTGTGTTCATTTTTTTACATATCTAAGAAGATGCCTAATGGACCCGTTCCTTTTTTTTCCATTGGATCTTTTCTATGGATCTTTTCATAATCTTTTCATTACCATCCACTTTTAAATAGCTCTAAAAAAGAAATCGAATACTATGTGTAACAGTTTGTCTTGTAAGTTTGTCTTGTAAGTTGTAGGTGTTCCAGAAGCGTATGGACGGCTCAGTAGACTTCTACCGTGGCTGGCAGGATTATAAACACGGCTTTGGTAACTTGAACGGGGAATACTGGTTAGGTAGGTTGTGCGCTGGAGATAACTTAATCCCGGAAATTTATAAATGGATCTTCTTGCAAATAAAATACCTCCACTTCCATTTAATTTTCAATAAAATGTATTTAACCTAACGGGGAACATAGGTTGTGCGCTGAGAATTGATTAATCCCAGGAATTTAAAAATCAATCTTTTGGCAAACAAAAGACCTTTTTATTTAATTATCATTAAAGACTGTCATTTTTATATTCAAAATAAAGTATATTTTATCACAATTATTATAATGTATTCAATCATAAAATTCTTCAAGTTATCTATCTTTGTCCTTGTTATTTAAAGAATGTATTTAATGGATTTATATGCAGTGTATTTATAATTTATAACCTTATTTTTTCCAAGGAAACGACCAAATAAACCTCCTAACTCACCAGGGGCACTATGAACTCCGTGTTGACCTAGAAGACGCCACAGGGGTGAAAGTTTATGCTCGCTATGATAACTTTGCTGTCTCTTCAGAACGGACTAATTATCAGTTAACACTTGGAGCATATTCTGGGGACGCAGGTTTGTTTATAAGTTAACACTTGGGACATATTGTTGAAGCAGTTTTTTGTGTTGATGCTCATACCTGATGATTTGCATTTTTTTTTTTTTTTTTT